AAAAGCAACACTCATTAAGTGACTAAAGGACCCCGAATCCCTTGAGAGAAGGAGGGTGAGGGAGAATGAGGCAGGGAGACGAAGGGGGCGGGGAGCTTGTTTCCTTTGTATTTACGGAAGAAAGGGTAATTCGGATCTCTCGAGAGAAAAAGGATGAGTGAGGTCTGAGGATGAAGTAAAGAAAAAGGACTGTGTTTCGTCTCGGTCCGAGCTACAGGGAGCTCGTGTTCTGTGGATGAGATAAGAAAGAGGAAACTCCGTTCTTCTTAGTTCCGGAAAGAGGAAACTCGAGTCTCGCAGGAGATGAAGAAAAAGGCAGAAGAGTGGCTTTTATCTTCCGAGTTCAGGGAAAAACAGGTAGCTCAGGTTCTCAAGGATGATGAGGATAAAAGAAGATGAAGGGGCACGAAGCGGGGCCCTATAATTTCTAATTTCAAGGAAAGATGTAGGAGGACAAGGTTATGATGTCATTTTTGTGTCCTGCCACTTCAATTAATCTGAATAGATGCTTTTGGCATCTTCGCGTTTCGCTCGATCCGATCCTATTTCGTCCTTTCACAGTTTTTTCTGGATGAAAATGCACGCCTTTTGCATTGAAGCGTATTCGTTTCGTTTTCTAATTGCCTGCTTCACTAATCACTTGCTACAGACAGCCACACCAGTTGCACACTTAGCAAAAGTACTTCCGTAACTCTTCGCTTGGATGATTTAGATCCCGGAAACCGGAGAAGCTTCGGATTTTTATCCTCCTGTGCCACAAACTTGGCTTTAGCTTTTGATAACCGGATTCCCACTCCTATCCAAAGCTTTCTGTCTGCACGAACCAGAGTCTGAATTACCAATATTGGTATTGTATCTTAGTGGCGCCTTACGATCCTGGGTTGCATACCTTCAATAAGTAGCCTCCGCCTGTTCAATATATGTGCGTCATGTACTTACATTCATAGACCATAGGTTACTGTAGAAACATCGATCATGTGGTTTGTGCTAAAAGGAGATGCGCAAGCCCAGGATCGAAGGACCTAGCTTAGCTGCTGCAAGGGGTGTGAGACTACGCCTTAACATCATCACTGAAATGCGATAACTACACCGACTATCAAGATGGCGCCAGTGAAAACCCGAAAAAGAAGCTAACTGTGATGTTTAAACTGGCTTGCTAAATCGTGTCTAATAGAAATTTATCCAGAAAAAATGGCATTTTTCCGGCTAGAAATGATGATTATTGGGTTTTGCTGAAGATAAGATTAATATTTTAAGCCTTCAGAGGAAGACTGCACTGGCAGTATAATAGCTGTTTGCTTTAGTCCAGTTAAAGCATTCTTTGGTCGATGCTAGTCATTCTGGTCTCCCTAACATTTTTTTCAGAAATGTCGGAATTAAAATTCTAGATTGTTTCTATATTCGCTCCTATGAAAGGCAGAGGCACTCGAAAGTATTCCCTGATGAAAGAAAACATGGCTTACGAGGCTGCCGATGATTCTCTCTTTCAAGTTCTGCTTAGAAGAAAGCTGATGGCAAGTTTGACTTCCTGGCATGT